CACTTGTCCTCGTCTCCAACATGGGCTTGCTTTAGTCACACCACTTGACCACTTGCCAACCTTCTAGAAGGACTGCAGCTGGACTTCTACTCTACAGGTCTATGGATCAAATCCTGGCTACCTAAAGACCTACGACAGACCTACTTACCACTGGCGGTCCTACAGGTCGCAGGTTCAATTCTTCAAGTTGTCACAGATATTGTTCACAGGTAAGTTGGGGAACTAGGGATCGAACCCTGGGTCCTGCATCAGCTACTTCGAACTGGTGAATACCGTTTCAAAATTTATAATCTTATTATTAATTATAAGTATTTGATTTTTATTTCAAATTTGGTGAAGAATTTGAATGTAACGTTGAGGCAAATGTTGTTTACAATGTTTAGTTTATTCTTCTGCATAACATATATTTTTTTCTCAGATTTTTTGGAATTCAATTTAGTTCAGCCTCCTGATGAGTCGGTGAAACTCTGACGAAACAGTTTGCCACAGCCCCTCGTTTGTTGTCCTCCTCTCCCTCTCTGCCTACTGTTTACCAGGCAGCTCTGTTTGACTATATATCGTCACAAACAGAACTGCCCGGTAAACCGTAGGCAGAGAGAGAGAAGAGGACAACAAACGAGGGGCTGTGACAAACTGTTTCGCCGGAGTTTCACCGACTCATATATATTAATTTGGTAAAGAATTTCGATGTGACCCTGAGGCGAAAGTTGCTCAGTTTTTTTTTCTGCATAACATAATGTTTTTTATAGAATTTTCGGATTTTTTTGTTTTTGTTTTTTTTGCTGGGACCTTCTATGGCCCTTGCACGGCCGGGCAGCCTGGGCAAACAAGGTGACCCGGGCGGCCCGGCTGGTAGTCTAGGTAAATACTGAATTTCTGTAGCACCAAAAAACAAAAAAAAAACAAAATTTTTAAAAAAATGATTGTCTGATTGGTAATGTGTGATGCAGGTACGAATGTTTGATTTGGATTCTGATGAAAACTTTGTACTTTCAGTCACAGGTGAGTAGCAATCAGAAGGTCCTCATCGTTTGCTAAAATCATAGTAAAGTGACTCAAATGAGAATACGAGTCATGATACGACTGGCCTACGATCTGCCAACTCCTTGATCCGAAAAAAAAAAAGGGTTTCTTCGTCAAACACACAGGCAATCGACATGACGTTGAGCTCCCCTCTTCCACCACTTCTTGGCCCAGGTGATGAGGCACTTCTCAGCTGAGTGTTGGATTTTGGAGAAAGAGATTCCATCGCGCAATGGCGCGAGATTTGATGCACTGCCGTCTTTCCCAGAATAGAACGTACATCGTACGGTAATTGCACATCATACGGTAATTGTAGCAGCTGTATTTGGGGCAACATTCAGTCTGGACACGGTGGTAATGAGCGTATGTTCTGTTGGGGGACGACGGCAGCATCCGGCTGTTCTGTCACCACTGACAATGGCCCAGAGTGTTTCAGCTTCTTGTCTTGCTGCTGTACTATGTGCATATGGAGCTGATCACACAGTACATTGGAAGCGCTCAAAGGTATTCACTGTTCAGTACTACGTTTCTCTGGATGAGCAAAACAGATGGAGTCTGATGAACTACTTACTAGTACACATAGTAAGTGCACTGCAAATTATTTTCAGTTTCTCATCATCCTGGTGAACTATGCATGTGGAGGTGACTAAACTGAGTACATTGGAAGTGCTCAAAGGTATTCAGTACTATGTTTGTCTGGATGAGCTAACAGATGTACTATTAGTGCATGTAGTAAGTGGCAAAGTGCTGCTAAGTATTTCGTATTACGTTTGTTTGGATTAATGAACTGATGTACGATCAGTACGTGGTGGCGGCAAGCGCAACATGTACTGTATACAGTACTATGTTTGACCGGATCAGGTAAACAGATGCACTCTGTGCACCGTGGGGACACTGCTGCGTAAATGGAACATCTGTTGGTGCCAAGCTACATGACAATGTTTTTTTTTTTTTTTTTTTTTTTTTTTTTT